CATGCAAGCGATGACACAAAGTATGCTGCAAAAATGCAAGTATCACTGGAACCTCTCTTAGAACTCTGCTCCTCTTCTGCCCTGGAGAAAATGATAGTAATAGTGATCTCGTGGTTATGGAGGAGCCACAGCAATGGCCTCTTCTGGCCTCAAAGCATCACATCTTGTGCTAGGACTCTAATGCTTACCTGTTTTGGTGTGCAATCTCCATTCTCCTATTGTTAGGCCTTGTGTACATTTGTCAGGAGACTGGTGCTGAGAGGAATCGATCACGCAGAGGTCAATTTAGTGGGTCTAGTAAAGACCCGCTAAATCAACCACTGGTCGCACTCTTGTCAACACCGCTTCCCTCCCCCAGTGGAGACACTGCAGCAACTCGATCTAAGGTACAGCTATTCACGTAGCTGGAGTTGCGTACCTTAGTTCAACATTGTCCCCTAGCGTAACTTGGCCTTAGACCAGCATCTGTTTACAATATTGATGCCATCTGCTTGTTATGGGTCAGTCACCAAAAAGAGATTTAGGTGCCTGCTTGATTCTCTGTCCAGAAGCCAGCTACCAATGGTAGTGACCAACCACCTTCTTTAACAATGACACTGATGAGCAAGTGGATCAAAGCGTTTAGAGAAAATGATTTTGAAACCAAATGACGATGCGCATCTTTAGTCCTATCTATCTAATCTTATTCTTCAAGACAAGCTATGTTAGATGAGCTTTCCCTGAAAACTGCAGAAAGCGAAGTGATAACATTTACGCTCTTAGGAATTCCAGGGCTGCTTGTAGTCTGTGCCTAACTGTCTGTCCCAGTCTGATTCCCTCTACAAGAGGCTGGGATTTTCTCCAATTCTATCTTCCACATGAGTCACTGGCAAACAATTACCACATTGCTTATGGGTCTGTGGCAGGGCTGTGGGGCGACGACTTTTTTTGCTTGAACTTGGTTTTTCATGCTTGGCTCGGAGAACAGCCCCATCCTGGTTGTTCCATTGTTTGGCAGCTAGACCCAATCAGCCTCACTGGTTTGCAATCACAGGGCTTTTGACTGTCCCCAACTCTGCACATGGAAGGGAGGGTGTTACACTTGCGTAATCCTCAGATATTTGAAAACGTCTCAGAATCCTTGGGGGTTGGACTTGATGGCCTCCTAAGGTCTCATCCAACCCTGTGACTCTAAACCTAAATGCAAGCGACATTAAAAGGTGCAGATTCATTGCTGCGCACCTCCGCGTCCATCGCAAATGGAAATAATCCAATTAAAGAGGAAAGCTTGCTACTTCCCCCAGTTTAGCTGTGACTCCATCACCCTATCTTCTCTTCCCTTTCCCTCTCTATGCCAGAGCTACTGAGAATTGCACACAGCCCACCCCAAATCATTTTTCTTTCCACCTCACGTATGGCATATCAACAACCTTCATACAAACAGAGACCACAACATATAGCCAAGAAATATCACCAAGGGGAAAAATCTCCTGTTTTGAACAGATTCTCCAAATGTGAAATGCCACTCAAAGCTCATAGGCAGGCATCTCCAAAGCATATTATATATTCATAAAGACCTCCTCAGCACTCTTGACAGCATGTCAAAAAACACGTCCAACTTCAAAGCATGCAAAACAGCTCACTTCAAAGTCAAAATCAAGCAAAATGTTCTTCCTCTAAGCCCAAATACCCTGCTGCTGGGGATTTCTTAGATAAGATAAAGGAAAATAAAGAGTTTTAGGATTAAATGGGGCACATACTGGAATCTGAAGACACTAAGCTATAGAACAGAACAATGAAACTGTCACTTTTGATGCCTATACATTTCTATAGGTCTCAACCATCGACTATGAAAACCACCAGTTCTTTGACTTAACGCTAACCCATCACTACAAGGTACTTCAGACGTATGTAAATAGTAGAACTTCCAGATACTGAAGTTACTGAATTTTTTTTAAAATCAATTTTCAGCTATGTGTTGTTCTCATTGAAGGGTACAACCGGGAATATTCAACCCAGGAGATTCACAGTAGACAAAGAATTAGCAAGATTTCTGAACTAATCCTGGACTTGCTTACTTCTGGGGAGAAGTTTAGCTTGTTGCTCAATTAGAGCTGCAGTGGCAGGTTTATGCTGACAGAGCTCAACAGAACATAAATATAATTACTCTAACATGACTATTAGGGTACATTTATGAGGCTCCGGGAATTCCACAACCATGCTCAAGTAGCTTCTACAAATTAGCAACTGTGCTTTGAAGCACAACATTTTTTGATTTGTTGTCCCTACATTTCCACGGTTTCGTTTTCTATGACTCACAATCAAACCTAATTTAGATCAATCAAATCAAAGCGGCACAAAAATCATGGAAATTAAAGGTAATGATCAAAAAATTTATTTTGAGGTCCAAAATCAAAGCCAAAGACAATCTGAATAACTACAAGTATATTATACACAAGGCAATACAAAACATGAACTTATCAAACAAGTTTTGCAACAGCGTGTTTCAAAAGGTCACAGTCACAACAGATGATGATGGTGCCTTTATCCACTTCTGAAATGAGGTATATGTGCGCATCATTCTTACCGTCCACCTGAGCAGTCTCTCACCATATAGATGCTCATTATAAACTTTAGACTAGTGTGCCAATTTGTGTTCCTGTGTATTTTTGGGTAGGGCATGGTGCAAAGGTCACAGATGGCAAAAACAGTTGGTCATCACTTAACTATTCCAGCCAGTTACAAAAGGGGCAGGGTGGTACGTACAAGTATACAATAGGGAAACACATCGGCTGCTTTCTAGCATGGTTAGTTTCTCTTTAGATGCCGGGAATACTCGTCAATAGTGCGGAGTGCTAGACTAACCCGAAACATCCAGGAATAAATTATTGGTTTGTAGGAGTGTTTCAGGCAACCAACAAAGCAAAGAGATGGAGAAATTATAGATCTACTAATGACGAGAATAAGTAGATTTATGAAATATAGTGCTTGCTGACACAGCAGAATTAGTGCTAAACTTAGAAGTTTATTATTTATTCACTTTTTTGTGACACACATGAACAAAGTGACCTTTCAGAGATAGATTTCTCCCATCGGTGTTTAAATGGCCAATCAATGGCAAAATTATCTAGCAGGTCTCATCTCCTCAGGATAATTACACATCCCTACCATTAGTGCAAGTGAGAACTCTCCAGGAACTGGCCGCTACAGAGTTCCTGACAATTCCTAACAAAATGGCAGAAACATTACTCTTTTGCCTCTCCCAATAAGAAGAAAACACCACACACAATTCTGAAAATATATATTACTGTATGCAGATACTGCAAAGAAATTCACCTAGGGTTTTAGCTGCTTTGCAGTTTACTAGAGTACCTAGATTAACCTTTACATTCATTTAAACCTAACACAGTAAATCCTTTGGAGGCACTCCTGCAGAAGCCTTGATGATCTGAAACAGTTAGGAAAGAACCCATTAAAATAACCTTGAAAGCAATCAAAAATTAGATCAACCCTCTGAAGGCAAATTTACTTCTGGCTCATGAACCAAAGCTCTCCGGAGTGGTGTTTTAAGTTGTCAAGACCTTTTGTTCTAATTTTCAGCCAGAGATAAAACAGACTATCAGTAGCCATCCCTCATTAGTGACTAACACAAAAGAGATCTGGGCAGGTTTGGTTTTCCAATTTAACATTTGTTCATGGTGTCTAACAGAATCTTGGACTCCAGTGACATTAGTAGATGAGGAGCAAGTCCGATACCATGCACACTGTAGCAAGTAGACCCATATGCACAAATACATGAAGAGTTCAAAGCATCTAAGATAACCTCCTTCATGCAACAGAAGTAACTTTATTTGCTAATGAACAGACTGCCATGTATTTGGCACAAACCATTTACCCATTTAAGGAGTTTTGTACTTTGTATAATATTTTGTTCAGTGGTAGTATTAGATTCAAGCAAAAATGGCATACATTTTATGGGGAAGATAAATTATAGAACAACATCTAAGGGATTGCTCTGATACATTCAGTATAGCACCGCTGCATTGTACTTGCTAGTCTTTGAGGCTCTTGGTGGGGGGAGACAAACTTTCAGCCTGACAGAATTTTAGTTAGCTTTTTTGCTTTTATTAACAAGCATATAATATTAATTGGCAAAACACTGAATACAAGCTTCACTATCATAAAAATCAAAACAGTAAGCAATAATCCCCAAAGGCTTATTCAGACAAAAACTAGCCACCAATAGTACAAAAATTACACAGCAACACAAAGCATAAAAAAATGTAAACTTTCAAATGAAACTAAGTCAAAAATATGGTTTTATACGGTGATAGTTTCAGTATCTTTATATACCACATATTGAGGATAAAGGCTTAGTGGTTGCACTGGCTTATTGTCCCTTAACCCTAAATTAATCTTGTTCCACAACAAGAAACAACTTTCCTTTTGTCCAGTTACATTGTTTGGGAGTTAAGGATATTAAACCAATGTTATAATTGTATCTTAAACAGACCTGGAACTTCAGCGCACCCTTCAGAAGTTAGGACTTCTGGAGGCATGCCCCTAAGTAACTCTGCTCCTGTGAATAATCCCACTGACTTCAACCAAAATAGCCAGGCGAGTCAAGTGACAAGGGAAGCATTTGCAGTATTGGATCATTATGCCATAATCCTACAATCTGGTCTGGGGCAGGCCACACTGACTTCAATTGGATTCAGCAAGGACATAAGGATCTACCAGATGGATCAGATTGCAGAACCTAGAGCTTCCATTTGTACGTGAGCAAATCCAAACTCGTTTGTTAAAAACAAAACGTTGGCTTACCCTGAGGGGCAAGTTTCCAGAAAATGTGAATCTAATCCCTGCTTTTGTCAAAACGCAGACTCAAAGGGCAGTTCATAAAGAAATTATGCACCTTAAAGTATGCACTCTCTCTGAACTGGGACCTATAGAAATATCAAGTCAACTTCTCCGGGAGAGTTAAGCATGCCCTTATGCAAACAATTCTAGCCTGCAGGATGTTTTTTTTTTTTTAACTTTGAAACAGAGGACAAGAGGCGTGGGTTGCATTCAACCTTCCATTGAAGCATGTGAACTGAAGCGATTACCTGAGGAAATACAGAAACTGGATTTTTCTGTAGGAAACAGTTTAAGATGTCTGCATTACATGCATTTCTTAAGTACTGATTAAAACAAATTTATCAAAGAGTCATCTGCTGAAGTACAAACTGGTTGGCTTTTTCCTATTACTTTTATTTCAATGATCAGATTTAAATAACTGAAAAACAGGGTAGCTATGCTACTACATTTACCATTGATGGAGGGGGAGGGGGGAATCCAGTGACTCTCCCAAGACTAATTATGCTGTTATGAAGACAATAGAGCCAGATAAGCTTTCAAAGGCTCATAGCCTATTGGAAAAAATAGCACCATCATAGCTGTAAGTCTGATATTTCATATGGTCCCATATCCCCAGAGGTTAGTGTGTTGTGTACAGTATTGCACAACCAATAAAAAATAAATATTCCCAGGTTAGATGGTACACAAAGATACCAGACGTAACAATGGCACAAAAACAAATTTCAGATAGGCTGCAAGTCTTGCAGATTGCTTCCACAATTCACATTAAGGTTTCTTGCCAGATCATTTATTTAAAAATATTGCTGACAGGTAGTTCTTGCACTTACACACAACTTTAAAACCCCAAACTTCACTTCAAAAAAACCTCCCAAAAATAAAAAATAAAAAAAAATTTGAATGTACATTTTAAAAATCCCACCTACATTCCTTCCCAATTTAGCGGTAAGTAGATGCTACATTTACAATTTAAACATATGCCTCATAAATGCATGTTTCAAACCTATTGCACAAAAGCATAAGTAATGCTCTTTATCCATACAAAAACATCAAATAAAAACTACTCAAACTCAAAGGAAAAAGAAGAAGCTTGTAAAAACATCTCACAATTTCATTTTATATGCCCGTAAATAAAGCTGGACCATTGAAACCAAAATACTTGGATGGTAAAATAAGATAGAAGGCTTAAAATAGAATAAATAATTTTATAAAGTTAATTTTTTTAAAACCCCCAAATCTTATTTAAATTCAATATTATATATTCTATCTGAATTCTCTATTTTAAATGAAAACTATATCTAGTGAGACTATCAGCCTGGGTAATTAGTCTCATTGCTGTTAAGGATAATGCAACAAGATACTCGTACTGCAATTATTCACCAGCATAAGCAGTTGTGAAAACTACCTCACAGTAACTCCATCCTCACTAAAACCAAAATAAACAGAACAGGACTCACACAGGACCAAGAGAGACCTAAAAGGAGCCTGACCTTCACACCTTAAACAAGGTTTTAAAAAATCAACAGCTATTCAGCCCAATATAGTTTTGGCATTAACATCAACTCTCTCAAGCTTCACAGAAGTGAAACAGAACTTTAGACATCGAACCCTTAAGGTCTCCCACTGAATGTGACATTTCATTGTATGCCAGTCTTCCTGCAAAGTTTAAAAAAAAATCAAACCAAATGGTGCAGCAAACCCTACGGGTAACAGTTTCTGTAGGGCAGATATTCGGACAGGGTGCAATTTAGAAAAATAGGTATTTTTAACCACTGAGGTTTCATCAGGTTAATACATTAAAAAAGCAGAGTTACCAGCTGGAGGTGTTAATACTGGCTTCATATTTACGTCTCTATACAGATATTAACAGATATTTAAATATACTGATATAGCACCATAGCAAATTCAAGTGATTCCAAAGAGAGCCACAAACTTACAAATATATATTCTGTACTGTAGATTGTTACAGTGAGTGAGAACTGAATGACAGAGAGGGTTTTGAATTTATATGTTCATACGGTTCAATTGCTCCTCAGTTTACTTACACAGGAAAATATTCAAATTCTGATGTACGTCAGTGGCGCTGCAGTAAGGCCTGGTGTTACAAAATGCTGCTGCAGTGCATATGCTGAGGTAGACAGATCATGTATATATGTTTATTAAACCCTTAGATGATTAGGATCACATTGATAAGGACAGGGTCTCTTAGCTGAAGTTCCCGACGCACACCCCCTCAAAGGACAGTGCCATCGGACCCACAGTTCCAGAAAGTCCCAGTAAATCGACTGACTTACAAGGCCACCTCACCAACGTTCCTTTCTGTGATAAGCTCACATAGGGCTAGGTGCTAAAGCTGGACTGATTAGGACTCCTTCCTCTTCCGACACTGCTATTTTTTTCTCCATGTTGTACATAGATAAAAGCTGAATTGCCGATAGGTGCATATAGGAACAGAAAGACCAAACCGGAGCCAAATTCTAGTCCTCCCCTCCTCCTCCCACCATGCTGAAATACTCCAGGTCTAGATGTCAAGAAGTCCTGGCTGGCCCAAGGAGTACTCTGTACATTGACATCTCTCGGGCCCTAGAGATGTGCAGAGATTTCCCTTTATTTCTCCATTTGCACCCATTCTGATCGCCTCTTCATTCACCTTGACAGCTGAGTGCAGAACCTTTGTCATGCTGGTTTGAAATATATACAGGTGAGTGGGGTTCCCTCTCCCAAATGCAGCAGTAGGAAAGCTGAGAGGAGGCAAATGGAGAAACAGAAGGCTCCAATAAGCACGTGTAAGGAGGCACACAGGAACATGGTGTTCTGGGGGGCGGGGGATTACTTCCAGACCCAGGAGAAAAGAGAATTGACGTGTTTGGATCAGCCAGCATTTCACAGGATGTACTTCCTGGGGTTAAATCGAATATTAAATAATGATTTCTTGCAGGCCTGAGGAGCCCAACTGGCTGGAGTAGGATGGTGCTAACAAGCTTAATAGTGATGTCAGCCACTGGCATTTGCCTTATGGAGGAATAAAAGGGTTTAATAATATGTATACAAAATTGGTGGGTTTAGGAGGAGCTTTCCCTCCTGAGAGTTTAAAAAGAAAGTAATAACCTCCAGCTGCCCGTGTGTCACACCCTCTTTTCAATTTCTTACAATCCCCTGTGCCAGTCAAGCATTTTAACATTCCATATTTTTATTATGTTATACAGTAAAGTGCTTGCAGAAATCACTGTCAACCAATTTTTTTAAGTCACCTATTTTAAAAACCCTTCCAAGATTTTTTTTTTAAGTGAACACCCTTCTAAGCATTAGCTGAACATGGACTTGAAGACATACGTAGAAAAAAAACACTGTGCCTCTCTCGAAGCTCAACACAAAAAGCTAGATTAATAGATTAAGGCCAGAAGGTACCACTACAATCTAGTCTGACCTCCAAGACAGATAGGGGTGCTAAAGAAACCAACAAAAGCTTCTAAAGGAAACCATTAAAGGAAATCCAGAATTAGTCAGTAATTAACAGATGAGTTTTTAAACCAGTGAAATAGAAATGTGTGCAATGTTTCTATGTGGGTGTCTTCCAAAATAAACACCCTTCAACTACCCGTGACAAATTCAGTTTAAAAAAAAAAATTCTCCCTAAAGAAAACATGGATTTCTGCAAGCCTCTACTGCATAAGACACGTCTACCCTAAATTTTACAAATGAAGCACTTTGAGTAATCTTTGAGTTGTGATCAGATGCAATTTATGCCACAACGTACTATTGGGGGCAAATTAAATTCATTTTCAGTTGCCTCATTGAAATATGCAGAGGGATGTGAAAACATACATGAAATATAAAATGAGATGAAGCGTTGTGCGGAACTCATGACGTTTTCAGAGGCCTAGACTTTTAGGAAGTTTTTAATGCAGCATAAATATCATCAGTCTCTATATCATCAAGGTATGTTCAAGGATCCTCAAAGGGCTCACCGAAAGCCAAAGTAACTGATGCACACTCTGTAAGACAGGAACACCTTGCAGAATATATCAAAATAAGCTTTAGAAGTTTCAACCCATGGAAAGTAACTAAAGGTAATTTCGGGCTCAAAATCAACCTTGTGAATCACCCCTACAACATTTTAACATGTTTGTGTAACTGCAGCAAAGAGATGAATGACATGGAGCTACATGGAACTGTGAAGTGTTTTCAGGATCTGTAAACTTAGTGCTGGTAGTGTCCTCTTGTGATTTATTTCTTTCGTACAAAAAAAGTATAAATATTTTCTGTCCAGAGATCTGGGCAACACATCCCCAGAAGAATATTCAGAAAGGTGGTTGGCTGTGAGAGCACTACAGTCTTCCAAAACCATTCTGCTGGTTCGTGTCACGTGTGAGTTAAGTGATGCACTAAGAAGGTGCCTGATGATAGTCTCTGCAAAAAACGCTGTCCAGAAGGACAATAAAGGTCTCTTACAGCAAGTCCATTTTGGGTCTGTAATGTAGCAGGAGAGGTGCTTTCTGCAAGATAAAATAATGAGCTAGTTTAAGAAGCAAAATGAATCCTCCCATGTGATAGGTAAGCAATTCATCAAAATATGCGATCAATGTATGTTTTAAGGCCAGAAGGGATTAAGCGCGGCATCATCTCATCTCACAATATCACCCAGTTAGCCATATACTGAGCCCAGTTATGAAGTCCCATCTACTTTGAAAAGATGGAGAATCCAGCACTAATTCTACAGAACTACCAGCATAACTACCTTCCCTGTTAAAAAGTGTGTCATTTCCAATTTGAATGTCTCTAGCTTCCAGCCCCTCGTTCTTCTTATGTCATTCTCCACTAGATTAGAAAGCCCTTTGGGACACTGTTGTTTCAACCCATGAAGGTACTTTTATACTGCAATCAAATCACCTCTCAATATTCTTTTTGGTAAGTGAAACAGATCTGGCGCTGAGTCTCACCATAAAGGTTCTTTTACTAGCCTTTAAATCATTAATAGCTTTTCTCCTCCCCCTGTCCACTTTTTCAACATCCTTTTTAAAAAGCAGACACCAGAACGGGATCCCGTAGTCCAGGATCAGTCTCACGGATGCCACATTCAGAAGTAAAATCACATCTCTGTTTTAGTTTCTGCAGCCAAGGACCACACCCACCGTATCATACTTTATATGTTGAACTGTATGTCTACTAGAATACGACAATTGGGAGGTCACTTTTGTCTATCAGCATTACCAACACCTCCACAGCTTCCAGAGCTCTGAGAAGACATTTAGGGGTAAATTACAAGCTAAATAACAGCACAAAACACTGAGAGCCAGGACTGGTGGCTGTAAACAAACTTTACAGTACTGTGGGAAACTTCGCCACACCCACAATAAACAAACATCCAGCTAACTAAAACTTGGCCGAAACACAGATGTTGTCAGACCAGAGAATGCATGACTAGAGACATTCAATGTTATTACATCTATGCAACTACCCTTACTAACCAAATTTGTAACCATCCAAAACCAAAATCGGGTTTAACAAGATGTCTTCTCCACAAAGCCACGTTGACTTGCATTAAATTACATTCCCGCCTTCAATTCTGGATTATTCGAATCCTCTGTTAGTGTCTTCTTTCTTTTGCCTGGGACCGATATCAGGCTATTTACCATGTCGTCCTGCTTGTCTTTTGCTAACGTAATGCCGCTATACCCAGTTTCAGGCCAGAAGGGCCCATGGGATCTTTTAACAGGATCTCCTGCACACCGCAAGCCACTCAATTTCACCTTTTGCTATTCAGGCCAAAAAGAGTTTGGTGAGACCGAAGCTTTCCAGGCCTCAGGAAATTAAAGTACTGTGAGCCACAGGGAAAGAATGTGAGAGACCAAGGTGCCACCAATACCCAAAGCCCCTGGAACTGCAGAGAGTGGATTTGACGAGTCATGCCCTGGTGATCCCAGCCAGCATGCTGCAGATGAAGGCAAAAAGCCAAAACAATAAACCCCCAAAGTCCAAACTAATCTGACCGAGGGAAAAATTCCTTTCCAACCTCACATCTGGCAATCAGTGACACCCTCCGGAGTATGCGGGTGAGACACGCCAGCAGGACATCGAGAAAGAGAATTCTCTGCACACCTCAGAGCATGGTCACCCCCCTAGTATCCCATCTCCAGTTGTAAAGAAACTCTTCCCATCTTCTGAAATGTCCCTGTTATTCCAAGGGCACCCAGGTGCCACTAATAAAGATCAGTGATGCAGAGATGTCCTGCACCAACCCTCACAGGGCTTTTGCTTGCACATTATCTGCGCCTGCTGGATGACCTTTGATAAGCCATTTCATCTCCATGTGCCTCAGTTTTCCCATCTGTACAATGGGGGTGGTTTCTCTCCTGATTTGCCAAACACTGAGATCTATAGATTAAAAAAAACAAAACAAAAAAAAAAAAACAACTGTGCGAGAACTAAATATCATCTCTAGTAGATGCTCCTTAGTGCCCTCGATTACTAACGGCCTGAAAGTAGTTCATTCTCCTCAAGTAATGCAACATCATCTTGCTTCTTTCCAAATACAGGACAGGACTATACATCAATCTCTTTTAGATTATTATCATTTTCACCATCTCCACACAGTGAAGAGTTTCTACTACTATTAGAATTTCTTTTTCCTGATTTATCTGAAAAATCTACTGTCCTTAGCCTTGCCAACCACTGATTTTTTCCTGATGTCCTCAGTTTCCACACTTTATAACTTCTAATTTACACTGATAGCTATTTACTTCCTCCTTTCCCCCCAAGTTATTATATATAGTTCTTGGTCTCTGAACCAAGATGGACTTCTAACCAACTTGTTAGCCAGTTCTCAAATTATTGCAGGTTTAAAACTGTGTATGATAGATACTCCATGAACTCTGTTCTGTAATCAGGTTTAACATTTTTAAGGCTAAACATGAGTGAATTCATGAAAAAGCAATTGTGCCGTACCTTAAATCTCCATCTAGTGACAACTACAAATTTGAGCGTATGGTCCTTGCCAAGAATTTCTTCATTGCATAATATATCCAGCTGATTGAAAAGGAAGAGAGACTTAAATTCATTAAGGGACACACTATACATACTTCTGAGACAAGACAATGCAGATGGATAAAAGTCATGTTAAACATGTCAAGAGTTACCTAAGACATGCAAAGATCCTAATCCTTCCTGCAGCATAAAACCAAACTTGCAGTGCTAATGGAAAAAGGCACTCTATTAAAGACAGCCTTCCTAGGTCTGTTTGACTTCTGAATGTTGAAAGACATCCTCAGCCCAGGGAAGTTCACTGGGGGAACATTTCATAAAGTAAACTAACTTTTTGATCCACTGACTCTCTATGTGGCACCAGCATCTCACCCTAAGTCCAAATCATCAGCAGGACTTTTTAAAAACCTGTACAAACTTTCTTTTCTTCCTTAGTGAGCTTACCTCGTTTGCCATGCTACAAAAATGGCTTATGCATCATATTTCTGTATGCAATCTTGTCCTAGCCGTGTGGGTTCCAGGATATTAGAGAGACAAGATGGATGAGGTAATATCTTTTATTGAACCAACTTCTGTTGGTGAGGAAAACAAGCTTTTGAGCTTTCACCTTGAAGTGGCTTTCACCTTAAATGGTCCCTTGAAATACATGTTAACTATTTATTTTAAACAATCTGTTCCACTTTGTACACAAAATGGCATAGCTAAGTACAAATACACTTCCGAGACATGAGAGCAGCTCAGAGAGTTCAAAAGCTTGTTCCTTCTACCAATAGTACCTTTGATTGGACCAACTTCTCTCTCACCCACTGTATCTCTCTATGCACCACAAAGCAGATGACAATCAGGGTTGGAAAGTGTATTTTGAATGGCTGGGGTCTCTCACATAGGGACTACGTTTACTATAAATTAACTCTTGTTGTAGTGGCTTTTTGCAGATTTGAAAACAAAGATCTTAGTAAGAAGGTGCTAGAATCAATATGTGTCTTTTGTTAAGATAATCTGAGGATTGAAGTAATTGTAGACTTAAGCCAGTTCTTCACTTGGGACAGGCCCGCAACGTTCCTTTGAAAGAACTTCATGTAAGCCACGCGGGGTAGGGGGAGGGGAAGGGGACCACTTATAAATACAATTAAGAGCCAATAAAATTAAGCATGTTTCTTCAGACTAGCTAAAGAAGCTGGTTTTAAATGGGCAATTGTTAAAAGGTACAGAAGGTCTACATATAAATGAGATGTGAAGCTGTTTCAGTTGACAATTTCTGTTTTAAGAAATTTTGGAACGAGGTAGGTTGACAGATTACATCCCCGGGGGCTGCTAGGAGTGGGTGATGGTGGTCGCGGTCAGGTAGGAACAAGGTTCCAAGTCTGAAAAGCTAGCTGTTTTGGTACGTTGTATTCTGAGATGGGAAAGGATGTTGCAGAGCTGTGGAGAAGCTAGGTAGGAAGAGTAAAGACAGGTATGTAAGTGAGGGGGAGGAGAAGGCGGTTCGGAGCTGGAAAGCAGTTAAGTAGAGATGGCGGTCCTGAAAACGAAAGCATCACTCAACAGAGAATGAGGATGTGGGTGAACTGTTGGCATGTTAGTTGGGCTAGGACCTTCAGTTTCCCAGCGTTTTAACTTTAGACATAATCACTTGTAATGAAGCCTTGAAGCACAACCTGCAGTCCCTTTGGTTTATGTTGGACAGCTGCTGACCTTCGGTGAACTTCAGTCCTGGGCATATCAGGAGCACAAAGGCTCTGGACCACTTGAGGAACATGGCTTCAATAAGACTTCCATGGTGGATAGGCCTGGACCGGTCCTATGCACTGGGGTGTAATTCTCCATTTTCTCTGATACACATGATTAGACAAATTAAGGACCCTAGTGGAACCTATGCCAAAGCTTACTGCAATGGTATTCTGTTCAAACTGGATGTGGAAACAGGGGTATTAAGGGGTCAGAGCAGCCGTTTGACTAGTATTACTAGCCCAAGAATCAACAAGAACTGAAACTTCAGGGGATTAGTTTGGGGAAGGAAGGAGATAAGTGTGCTAACTTTCATATTTTGCCCTTTTATTTTTTTATTAAAAGGCTGATAGATTCACCTAGGTCCAGCTCAGATAAAAAAAAAGCTGTTTTAGTCCTATTACAATATCACATTTTACCTGGAAAAGGTTTGTTGGGTTCTCTCTCTAAGAACAAGATTACAAGGAAAAGCATTACTTCTAAAAAATGAGCTTCATACGCTTGTTACACGCTTTTTATTTACACTGTCATTTTCTCTTATGTTAAAATATTACCTCGTTAAAAGAAGAAAGGTTAAGTTTTTTGGCAATGAACTTCTTTAGATGTAAGACTGTTGCTTGTGCTGAACAGCGGATCCATTTTCGTTTCAATCCACGCAATTTGCTGCTATTGCATTCCAAGCAGATGCTTACCTTTAGGGAAAAGCACACACAGCCCCATGTTGGTTAATAGGATTTCCTGAAATCCTGCTATGCATTCTGGCAAAATAAGGTCAAACCATATAACTAAAACCTCTCTGAATTCAAGCGTTCACTGTTACCTTACTGATATAAAAAAGAGCTGTCTGTACCTTGTCAGCTTACACCTCACTCCTTTTGACCCAGACGCGTCTAGATTAAGTTGATAGCCTCTCATTTGTACATTATAGGTGTCAATCTGACTAACTCAGGATCAACCAAGGTCAAACCACAAACCAGAAGTGTAAATACTAACAGAACTGTAGAATGTAAAAATCACCTTCACTTTTCCAGTCTTTGCCCATTTTTATAGGCAATATTCATGTACATCAAGATTAAATACATATGTTAGCATGATTATCAACTCAAAAGTGATTTTGTCTGAGATGTAACGGTGCTACAAGAATAGGTAAAAAAAAGTCAAAAGAAAGCTAATGAAAAAACAAGGTGTTTTTACTCAAATTACTGGTATGTTTGGCTATGATTTTTTCATGGAAATTTTAATAAATGCCACGACAGAGGTTCAGGAAAACAAGCATATGTCAAAGAAATAAGGGAGATGAGATAGTTTATTCTACACTGGCTTTTATCTGAAGAGTGGTTAAGATGTAGCCCCATGTAGGACATGAGGCATTAATTTATTCTGCAGCTGATCAATGTGCAGTTAACAACTACAATCTCCTGGCCATACAAAAAGTGAAAACACTGATCTACTTTACTACCAGACAGATGGATTAAATGCACATCTGCCCCGCAAAAGGCAACTGAACAGCCTGAGTGGAGACTGTATCTCAGCCTCCTTCTCGGTTTTAATCCAACCAACATCGTAACTATCTTCTATGGATTTTGCCTCAGTCATCCAGCTCTCAACCCAGCAACAGGCCAGGCAAACAACTGCTTTGCCTAGGTATGGGGACATGAAGCTGTTCCTATGACAGATATGTTGGTTCTGATCTTGAGTTTAAAAAGATGTCATTAAGTAGTCTTGCTTCCTTTCTGTTTTTCCTAAATTAGCAAAAAGTCGTTGTCTGTATTAATTATATTTGACGGTGTTAGAGCTCTAGATTTTAGCCATAGGTCTCATATACTAGTTTTGAGGCACATTTTTTAATTCACTTTAGGCTAGACGACAATCACAGTTAAAACAGACACTGCCACTGCTCCTTAATAAGATTTGCTTGAAAAATAAATGCCACTACTGCTCTACACTTAAAGACACTTGGTCCAACTTCACACTGTTAAAAAGCATGGAGAAACAGTGCCATACTTTTTAGCATAAAAGTAAATGGTGACCTATAATTAAGAAAAAAAAACTGGTTGATTTAAAAAAAAAAAAAAAAAAAAAGTTGCCTGAAAGACATTCTACCTGTTCATCACTTCTGTGATAGTCATTATCTTCTTCCTGTTTTTCCTCTGATGTTTCTTTGTTTGAACTCTCATCAGCTTTAGTTTCACCTCCAATAAAAAAGGAATACATTATACTCATGCAGTTAAAAGGTGTTAAACTGTAGGTAATCTCAATCAACAGTAACAAAAATCAAATCAAGACAAAGCAATTGGCGCTCTGAAAGTATTTCAGTGGTCAGACTGGGGGTGAGCTCATTTTATAGAAGTTAAAAAGGAGCATAAGCATCCTTGGTATTTGCTATTTTCTGGAAGCATGCTTAGCTACATGTTAGTTCCTCAGCAGTGCACCTGCATTTCAAGGGCCCTAATCCCAAACCCATTGCAGACAATGGAAAGCCTGACAGTGAGCTTTGATAAATGCATTGATAAGTAAGAATGCATTTGTTGAGTTGAAGGACTTGCAAGTTCTCAACGTAAGTGCAAAAAATTATTTGTTGACTATTATGTTTAACTGGCTAACCGATAAAACAGGGGTTAGTTGGAGTGCCCCACCCCTCTGGTTGGGCAGCCAGTTAACCTTAACCAGTAAGCATCACCTGGAATGGGTGATGCTTACCAGTTAACCCTTCACATCCCTAATTTGCCCCATCATTGTATTTAAAAAAAAAAAAAAAATCAGGAAATTCCAATACTTCAGGTTGCCAAAGAAATGTCAGCTCTGCCAAGTACTGTATAGTCAGTCATTTCTACTCCTCTTCCTTTCAAAAGGAAGCCTTATAGTATTACTTTTATTAGTTAAATATCATTCAAGCCCTAACGGTTCAAATTTCCTAGCACTGGAGTGTGACAGTTCTAGCTTTATCCTCGTGTGGGTGAGGGGGCTCTGTGCGTGACTATCTGGGTGCAGACAGCTCAATGGGAGGCCCAGGTACATGGGAGATCTGGAGGCACATTAGGGCAGTTTCAGGTGCGGGGCCAGTTGGGACCTTGCAGGGGGATCCAGGTGAAGGTGGTTGGGACTCAATTGGCGGAGCGGGGAGGGAAGGGAGGTTGTCTAGGTGCTGGCAGAGTGGGACTTGGGTGTTCAGCTACAACTAGTTGGGGCTCAGTGTGCTGGGAATCTGGATGTGGGGGAAATCGTCAGGGTGTTCAAAGTATTGGAGGTGGTCTCGGTATACAGGTGTGGCTCTGGGCCAGAGGGGTGGGGTTCAGATATGGAAGGCTGGAGGGAGATTCTTGGCGTACAGGGTGAGTTTTGGAGGTTGGGGGGCTGAGCACGAGGTCAAGATGGACAGGGGAGCAGCTCCCCATACAGTGACCTCTCCCTGAGCCAGGGGAATTTTCTGCAGGTGGGTCTAGCAGTTCCTCTCAGCACAAGAGTAGGAACCACCACAGTTATTTACCTCTTTGTCAGTTGTTCTGGGGGCCTGAAACCATGTGGCTGAGCTGCTAGGGAGGGAGGGTGCCCACTTTTGTAACTTCCTTTGTTTGCCTGTCAGAAAACTATTTTTCTGCCAGGAAGCAAATAAATACGCAGTGGACATGAATTCTGGCGCATGCACTGGCACATAACTCCTCCAGGAGTAGTATAGCTTAACGCCATTAGATTTTATGCAGCCACATTCACAATGTACAGTACTATGTAACAATTTCTATAACTATGACTGGTGATTAGAATAAGATTATCAGCTTAATGGGATGTTTGTGAAGAGAGCAAACAAAAATAAAATTACCATTCCGATGCGAATCTAAATGCTGCTTTGCAGAGCATGTTTCCCCTTTGATGTCCCCTGGTACTTCCATACCTAGTTTATGATAGAATTCTCGCTGTTTTCTCATTTCCGCTGTTTAAAAATTTAAACAGTTTCACTAATAAGTGCCATTGTAACATTTATAAAACTGTTTCAAATCCCTCCCACTTGCTCGCAGAAGACACTTTCCAGAAAGAAGAGGCACTCATCTGAGTGTGGATAACATGATTCCTTCACTTTTGGCTGCCTCTCTGCTGCTCCTAATTACCTTTTTAACAAATTATAACACACATCTTAACATTCATTTTCTGAGGCACCTTTTACATCACTTCTGTGATTGCATGTCATATAGATGTTACAGCTACTCCTTATTTTTCATGTATCTGTCTACAAATCTCTCAGTTAAAGTATATGATACATGCCTGTTCAGTTACACATGTAAGAGATTCCAAATTTCTATTTTTCTCCCTGCTTCTATATTTTTAGTCTGGAAGAATTTCTCTTTACTTAAGCTTGCTTATTTAAGGGAATGTTCTCTTTGATGTGACAAGTTAGTATCAATGAAAAATTTTCACCTAAACAGCAGAAGGCAGTAAAACACTATTGAAAAAATATGAGAATGATACGATAGTTAGCATGGTATTCCTTCTGCTAAAGACACCCATTATTGTCAAAATATTACTGTTATGAGAAGCAGCACACGAATTAGAAGTTACCTGTGAGCAAAGGCCTAAAGTATGCACTCTAACAAGAGGAAGAAAGTTATGCTGAAAATCAAAATTCTCTGCATTAAGATGTGTCACTTCTGACAACTTGGGAAAGCAGCAACCAAATGCATGAATAAACGCAAAATCCAAAACATGTGCATATGAAATATAATGCCAACACAAAAAGTTTGTTTTATGGTGTTATGCAATGTTTTAATCTTTCTGAAACAGCACCATGATTTTCATTTCTGGAATTCTTTCTAACTCTAACATTTACAGCTAAAATAAGACATACCAAGACTTACCTTCTTGAAGGCCTGGCACAAGCTTGTAAACAATATCTTGCATTGTTCTATCATGACTGGCAAAAAGAACAAAACAATTAGAATGTGAAAACATCTTGCTTTTTTAATTAATCATCTGTATTCTAAATGTCATCTCACTTCAAGAGAAAGACTCCGATATTAAACAGATTATGCTAACAGGAATATAGACTCGTAAACATCACAGGAGAGCATATTTAGATTCATAAATGGTGACTGAAAAATAAGAAAGATGTCACGTGAGAAAATGATTTAACGGGCGGGCGGGCGACCACGAGAAGGAAGCCTGAAAAGGCCCCAACAGTCAAGGCAGGAGGTAGCAAAGTGGTCCATGTGATGCAGAGGATGACACACTGCAATGTTAACAGGCTGTGTGAATTTTTTTTGAAGTCCACCCTTAACAGAACGCAGAAGAACATGAACGATGCGTCTATAGCAGAAAGTGGAATTGCTCCCAAGTGTACACATGTTGGTAATGTACTTTTTACTATACCTTGATAGACTTTTGACCTAAAGAAAGCAATTTTTGGCTCGATGAGGAAAAATACACTTTAACATGACCTTCCTATTCAGTATGGTGTCAAAGGATATAACTGAAGGCTTGCTACTGTACAAACAGCTTTATGAATATCTGTACATTTCTCAGAGATATGGATTAACAGTTAAATCAAGTTTTCATTATAGTGCACTGCACCAGAGAATTTGGTCCCAGCTGTTTCTGGTGCTACACAGCATGACTATCTAGATGCAACAGCCCTATTCCATCACAAAAAAAGTCTTATTTCTCTCACAGCTATTTCAAATAGTGCCTAGAAGATTGTGTTTTCCTCCACACACAACTGCTTCGTGAAATTATACACCACATTCCTTGCTGGTAGAAATTAGTTCAATGACAACAACTTCAACAGAGATTTACCCATTTATCCATTTCCATTTGGTTTAATTCAAATGGGATTAGACCAACATTCCAATATAAACAGAAAGAGATTGATCATTTTGTTCTGAGAATACACATCTCATGGTCCTTCAAGCCCGCATTTGGGGGGGTGGGGGGGGAGTTGAAGGATTTATCCATAATATGCTCTTTTTCTAATGAGCAGCTAGAGAAAAGCATACACAGGAAAAGCATATCCATCAAGAAAAGGGAGTCTAACCATACATTTGGCTGTTTAGGCAGAAGCAGTCAACCGGTCATAAACTAATTGCTGCCATTCACATTTCAGAGTAGCAAAAAGCAGCTCAAAAAGCTGTGTTTGCCAGAGGTCTTAACCAGAAAGTAAGGTGGCCTCACGCTAAGCATAGAGGGGAGAAAAGCAAAATTGGTCAAGACCCAAAATCTCTAGTCCTCAGCTTTCTACAAGAGGCTAATCTACTGGAGTTGCTTTCAACTGACGTTCAAATCAATCAAGAAAAGCCAATGCTAACTAGAAAAGTTACCATATGGAAGTACCAGAATGTTACCAGATCACCAAACTGTTACCACCAAGTTCTAATATTAAAAGTGCAGTAATTTAAAAAATATACGCATCCCAGCTTATCCTGCAGCGCACTGGCTCTGCTCCATGCCAGGAGTGTATGCCCCTAACAGACAGCAGGTCTCAGCAATACTCCAAGCAGTGGAAACCACAAACCAGTCAGAAGCAGCAGTAACAGAATAAGGAGCAGTTTATTATTAGCTGTTAAATAATATTTTCAGAGCAGGAGGAGGATGACAATTAGGTTTAAATAAATTAATGGATCTCTAACCAGTAGCTAAGTCTTAAACGAGTATGGGCATCTATTTCCAGACAGCAGGAGGTTCATCTAGAGCAGTGGGTTCATCTAGAGCAGTGTTTCTTAAACTTTTTAAAAGCAAGGAACACCAAACAATTTTTTTATGCGGAACACCAACAGTTGGGGGGAGGGAAGGGGTGGAAAGGACAGGGAAAAGTTGTTGGGGGGAAAAAAAAAAAACCACCCGGTGTGCCACGGAACACAAAAAATGAGGAGTAATATTAGTTTGAACCAAGGGATTTGATTTGAACTAATGCGTCCCAGAGTGCACTTCCTGGTTCGAATCAGCTTGCAAGTGGAATAGCGCGTGGGTGAGATTATGCTAATAAAGCGCGGGATATTTAAATCTCCAGTTCATTAGCAATTTCGGTCGCCTACATTTGCATCCCTAGTTTGAACTAGGGAGCAAGTGTAGACGTACACTCAGAGAAAGACATCCAATAGGTTGCTAGTGATGGAGAACCTCTACAATCCTAAGTAAATTGTTCCAATGGTTTCTCTCCCTCTCTCTTTCACTCATGCACTATTTAAAGTTTACATCTTATTTCTATCCTGAATTTGTCTAGCTTCAACTTCTAGATATTGAATCATATCAAGCCTTTCCCTGCTAGACTAAAAAGCTCATATTTGTCTCCACATGGCCTGTAATCAAGCCACATGGTTTGCTTGCACCAGCTGATCAAGTGATCCGGATCACTCCAAAAATCAGTTACCTATCTTCGTCACTATTTACCATTCCCCCAATTTGTGTCATCAACTAGAAAATGGAGGGAGGGAGCGAAGGGGGGTTAACTACACTTCTCAAAATCCACTGCTTCCAGCATCTGTGCCCAGGACTGGAGATACATATTCAAAGTCGTGCAACTAACAATTTCATCAAATACTTTGCTTGGAGGCAGGGCAGAAGTGCACCTGAAAAGTAATAGCTGGAGTGGATGCACTGCCCCGATCCAACTTACAGCGCTGCATTGTCTGCAGTGAAAGCTGCAATGGTACAGTTCTTTAGTGCTGACCAAGCCAGGTGAGGAAATAGCAGCAGTTGTATATCATGGTGCCCGATGCCTTAAAAATATTTAAGGTGAGAGGAAACTGTAGGAGAAAAAGTAAGGGAAAGCACAACCTGCAAAAATATATTATACAGTAGACACAAAGATTGTGATATCCTGCCAATGCAGGCAGGATACCACAACCATGGTAGGGCACGTTTTGAATAGACATTGTGTGGCTGAGGACAGAAGGAGGGCAGGCACAACTCCCTTAGAGATGGCACCAACCAAAAGAGGTTGAGAGCCACCCATCTATCCTTTCTGCTGCTCTCTCTACCTCGTTTGTGTGTAATTAAATTATCCTGCAAATTAAGTCATTCAAAAAAGACTAAACAATGGCAATGCTGCTACCTTCAGATTGCCAAGTCTTTGGAAAGTACAAATAAAACATTAAAACCATAATGCATCTGCCATAACAAAAATACTTTTGAACTATCAATCATCTGAACATAACAAAATATTAGATAAACATGTCATTCACACAATCAGAAATACATTTGACAAAAAGGGTCCAAGATCATTTCAAAGTTCACCCTCCCCACATTTTGCTTACGCAGAACCATTATTTTAATTTCAAATCAAGCTGCTAGCTTTTAAGTACTTAAAAGAATAGCCGGGAGGTAAAAAATCTAGTAAAGACTTGTGCCATAATCTGAAATATCCACACAGAACCTGGAGCACTTTAAATGATCTGGGATTTTCACTCCATACAGCACACTTACCCGATATACTGTAGTGGATGGCTCTGGTGTATAACAATTCTACATGTTGGACAGGTATTATTTTCCTCCAAATACTTCACCAGGCAACTTCTACAGACTGCAGACAGATTCATAATTAGGAACATAAACTACTAACACAAATTCAGATTTATGCTCTTGTGAACATTAAAAAAATTAAATTATTCAGATTTTGTTCCTTCAACTTATTTATATAAAGTTTCTAATATACCACTAAATAGCACACAATTTCCAATGTCTTTCGTAAGGGTTCAGACCACAAAACAATGGTAGATTATAATCATCGTATGAAGGACATGTGTTATTTTATTCCTGAACAAGTAAAGCTTACTTCAAAATTATTAGAATACGTAATACAACCCAAAATATCACATGGAAAAACTTTAACTGTGGTTATAGACCAAAGGAAACTGAGCCTAGGATATAAACTTGGGGCAAAGAAAATATTTTCTTCCTAGAAGTTGCTGTTTAGCGAACATGCAATTCCTAGCTGAAAGGGAATTCAGGTAATATTTTACCTCACAAACATAAGGTACATCATAATTACAGTTTTAAAACAATCACAATAGAGCACTGCACTACAGTTTGCTTTCAGACTGGTTTCCAAGTCCACATACACAACTATTTATTTCATTTTACAGACATTTACAAACAAGTCACTCATTTTAACTAAACACTATTAACTGTTTAAATGAAATCACACAAAAGGATGTCCTTGGATGGTGATTATTTATAGAGAAAGGTGGGTGAAAGAGATGAGCTTTTGAACTACTCCGAGCTCTTCTTCTGGACGGTGTTGCTCAAAAGTTTATATTTCTTCAACACAAGTTGGTTCAATAATGACATAGCCTTTATCTCCTTCTTATACCTACTTATACTGTCTCCCTAATATCCTGGGACCCACACAACTATAACTCTGCAAACTGTACGTACTTCTACATACATTCCAGGTTAAGATTTTTCTTTTCTCTAATGATTTTTGAGTTACTACAATTTCTGTGTAAATCTAAAGTGGGAAATATGGATAAGTGAACATCTTTCCAATAATCCTGGCACATGCGTTATTGTTAGCTAACACACTACAAGAGTTCCTGTGACTAAGCTACAAGCAGCATGTTTTCTGCAGTTCAATAGTGCCATCTACCCCTCAGACAAGTTGATGCATGTGTGAAGAATAATTCCAAAAAGCCACAAAGCAAAGATGCAACATATGAATGTATTACAGCATTTTCAATCCTTACTTAATTTATTATACATGGTTTCAGCTTCATGCAACAAAGCTAGTTTTCAGGGGTTTGCTTCTTTTGGTCTCTTCAAGAGACAACATGTTACTTAAAATGTGCAGTATATAGCAAATTGTTTTGGCAGATCCACAATAGATTTTTCAATTTGAACGAAAAACTGAATTATCTAGTATGTGAAGTAAAACGGGGTAATTTCCTTGAATATGCTAGAGAATCAGTCATACTCACAGGTATGCAAGCATTCTGTTACAGTGGTAGCATCAATAAGGTATCCATTGCAAAGACGACAGGTTATATGGGCATTAATATCCCAGAGTTTAATCTTTCTAGTCAGCATCTTTGGTGTCTGTGGGAGAAAAACACAATAGTTAGCATCTCGGGTGAAGTGATGACGTACAGGTCTTGCAGTACCCCAATTACAACAATTTATAGTCAATATATGAATAAGTACTGTCAGGCTCCAATTCTTTTTGTGTATCGAAGAAGTGTATTAAATAATTCTAAAGGGCTTATCTAATAAAATTGGGCAGTGAAACAAACAATGCAAGACCTACAGTATTTGGAGATTTGTATCATGTGGATGAGAAGGACTGGTGATTACTACATTAATATAGCTCAGATTCTGCAGGAAAATAGGAGGAATTTGATATTCTGATCTTAACAGGTTTCCCTGTTATGTCAGCATGTTGCATGACAGAGCTAGTTTATTGATGAAAGGCTAAACTTTAGGGCCAAATTCCGCTTTCATGTTTTACTCATGTTAATAATCCCATTCAAAGCAGTAATTAAAAGCATATGAAAGTGAGAAGAGTGGACCCTGAAATAAAGTTCACCAGAGCACAATATCAAAAGGAGTTGGCCCGGTTTGGTAAAATTTATCGAGTTGCACTTCGCATTTATAGCCTATTTTTCCCTATAGTTAAAACTTTACTTAGAAACTGAAAGAAAGTTGTATTTGAATAAAGAGGCTGTAACATAAACTGAAATGGTTTCCCACAAAGCTAAAACTAGGTTCTCACAAAGAAAATAGGACTTTGAATTAGCTCTATACCAACAATGTTATCTTCTATGGAGCCACGAAATCTGCACGGAATGCTTTTTTCCTTCCAAGGTGAATGTCACAAATACCATAATGAAAAGAAAGGAAAACAGGGATTTTAAAACAGAATAGCACACTTTTTGTGGCATTTTTTATATTACTGGTAGAGAAATCCAAAATCTGAAAAAGAAAGATAAGTACTTTTCCCTCTTCTGGAATCGCAAGAAATCTGCTTGAAATGTTAAGAACATTGTATTTCAGCCTTAAAATCATTTACGGATGACAGATATTTACCATGAGCACTTGAAGCCTTAGAAAAACACTGGTAATACACTAGCATTACTTTTCACCATATTGTTTTTGATAGTCTATTTTCTTTTAAGAGAAACTAGCAGGCTGTACCCCGTGCTTGCAACGCTCGCCAACCCCCTCTCTCTGGCTCCTTTTGCGGTCAAAGAGCGTGATGACATCCTTCTGTTGCCCAGCAGGAAAAACTTTTATGTATAAATATATACATAGAGAGAGAGAGAGAGAGAACTTTTGGGTACAGAAAACAAAGATAAATTTTCTAAAGCTACATTTCAGTTTTGCCACAAAATGTATGTTTTGTCGAAATAGTGTAGAAAAGCTTCACAAGAACACAAAGTAAATGGTTAGGATTATACACTGTGTCCAAAAACAGCTTAAAGCTGGTTAAACTAAGGGCTCTTATACAAACAAATAGCTCATATCTGAAATTAGACTACGACGCACAAGGCTATATAGCTTCCATATCGTATTACTTCCATAAACATACAGTAAACAAGCAACGTGTAGAGAATTAGACTTAAAATGTCAGCCTCTAGATTATGCTAAGGCACTAATCTTTTCAGAAGTTTCAATACAGGAGTATTTCAATTACACACACTCTCCTCTGTTGCTGTTAGCTGATCCTACTGGAAAAATGTGACTTCATTGACTGGGGCTAACCAACTACCTGCATCTAGTCAGCAGATACAAAGGAGCAAGAAACGTCTCTGTAGAAAAGATTCAGGATGTGAATGGAGCGGGCCACTGGGTGGAATATAGGAAGCAACCTAGTCTGAGGAAAATGCTTAATTTAAATCTGGATCTCATTTTAGTTCCTTTTATTTAAGGAGCAGACCCAGAAAGGGCTAAACTATGACCTGGTTTTATAATGTGTTACATTCAGCTCCTACACTGCAGGTGCCACCACACCGCTTTTCAGTAAAATGACTGACAGTGTTTGGTTTGGATCTACAAATTTAAAATGTAGTTTATTTTAGACTACATTTCATCATCTGTATGAAGTTCTTCAGAGCATGCAAGCTTTTCTAGCTGGATAAAGCAAGAAGATAAGAGTTAAACCTTAATCTTACACGCTCTGCTTTTTTGTTCTTTCCCTTTATTTAATTCAAGTATATAATTAAACATGATGGGCCAGCAGAAACCAAGCTTTTGAACCAATATGAAGAGTAATGGAACTGAAAAAAGTTCATTACCCTCTGTTTTAAGCCACTGAAATGCATTTCACCTCTAACGCTGTAAAATCACATTATGCGACATGAGAAAAACTGGAAGTACTTTTAATTCTTAAGGCTGACAAGACAAGTAGATGTACAAAAGAAGTGTTGTACATTTAATTATGGAACCTCAGAAGTTTGAACTAGTGACTAGCTGTAAAGGAAGCACCAAAAGTGCACTTAACTTCTGCAGTGTAACGGGCCAGAATCAGTATTCCCTGTAAGGTGAGATTCCAATGTCACCTAAGCTGATAAGCAGAGCACCAACAGCTGGCAGCATGTGTTCCTATTGGTGGTGTACATCTGCACATGCCTTGGTGAATATAAAATTTATTCTGCACGTTGATGGAAAAAAATATGAGGGAACATTGGTTAGAACGTATGCTGCTGAAATAATTATTCCTTTTTCAATATTCATTTTCTAGCTTCATTTCCAATCAACTGAAAGATTGAACAGTTCTTAGATAGCACGAATCTCGCTAAAAAGATTGCTGCACAGAAGACAGTGTTTACATAACCCAAAGAGGAGAGACTATTAGTGATTTATTCTTAAAATGATGTACAGGAGCAGGTTCTAACAGTAGCTACTGTTAAACCGCTCGATAATGCTGATCACAGTAGAATTAGGTTCAATATCTTTGCGCAGAGGGGCAAGAAATATATGATGACAACCAAACTTTAGAAAAGGGTATTTTAAAAATGATTAAGCAAGCTAAGACTAATACAAGCAAACAAATTCTCAGACTTTCCATGTACCACTATGGTCTCTAGGTATCCAATTTTCAACCGAAAATCAGGTCAAAAAGGGACCCTCCCGAGTCTCGTGAAAATGAGTGAGTGGGTGAGGTGGAGGGGAGGAAGAGCATTGGGAGAGGGCTTGGTGAAGAGGCAAGACCAAGATGCTCTGTTTTGTTCAGTCAGAAAGTAGGCAACCCTATAAATAATCAAAAGGCACACATTAGGGGTATAAAAAATTGGTTAAAAATCCTCTGTGGGAGCAGGGTCGGCAGGGGCTGCTGGCTCCATCACTGGGAAACTTTGCTGTGGGCTCTGCAGCCAGCTCCCTGGAAGCGGGGCGGCAGCCCTTGCTGGCCATATTCCTGCAGAATTGGCCAGAGTTTAACCGATACCATTAACTGATAAGCATCAGCTTATCCGTTAACCGGTTAAACTCTAACATCCCTAGTGCACATATCACTAAACCACGTGGAAAGGTAAAAAAACACAGTTTGGCAAAATGGCAAGTTTCAAGAATTTGATCAAGCCAAACAGGAGTCAGTCAGAAAATGGAAATTCAATACTAGAAGCTAACAGAACATATCAATTGATAAGGATAAGAATAAGAATAGTGAACTCCAAGCCAAAAACATTTACCTTCTCAAGAGGCACACATTAGGGGTGTGTGAAGGGGCTATCATTGAAGAATCAACATGTAGTGCTAGAACAATCTGAACAATTAGCTAGCAAAAGACTAGCAGGGCCACGTGTAACACACCTACCAGGTTTGAAAGGGCTAAAGAATGAAGCAGCTGAGATACTAATAAAAATATACAACCTCAGTAAAATCAGCTATTTTACCAGAAAGCCAGAGGATGCCAAAGGTCGTATACTTAGATCTAGAAAAAAGCACTAGAAGAAAACCAGGGAATGAATTTAATAGTTTAACCTGCTGTTCTGGAAAGGAAAGTCTTACTAGCCCCCTGATTGACCATGAAAGCAGCAGAACAAACTAGCATGGGGGAGGGTTATAATAGACTACTTCTACAAATCCAATCTTCCTAACCCCACAGCAGCTTACTCGTGAGAGACTGGAAAGCAGCAACAATTTCCTAAGGAGGGGGGATGAGGAGCTGGTAGAGGATTGCTCAACCAATGCGTGCAATCCAACCTGGACACAGAAAAGGGAGTGCTGACTAGTAAGTATACATTCATCAGCATATGCCATCTTACAAGTTCTGAATATTGTAACATTCAGAAGACAAGTTATTATAGTGCTCACAAGATGAACCTGGAATCCTTACCGGGACTGACGTTTAAATGCAGTTATCTATTTTCTGTATATAATCAATATTAACAATTATAAAGACAGAGCACAATAAAAATAATTCACACCTACCAAGCAACAGTAAATCAAACACTAAGGCGTCATATCAATCTATTTAAGCAATGTTTGAAATGAATTTTCTTACCCTTTGGGCTTCTTTCTCTCCAACTGCAGTGAATACCTAGGAAAATCTTAAAGTTGCTTTGCCAAATTAAATAGTAATAGAGAGGTAGCAGTGTTGTGATCTTGGTAAAACAAAAGGAAAAATATGTAGCACTTTAAAGACTAACAAGATAGTTTATTAGGTGATGAGCTTTCATGGGCCAGACCCACTTCTTCAGATTATGTATGGGTCTGGCCCACGAAAGCTCATCACCTAATAAATTATCTTGTTAGTCTTTAAAGTGCTACATATTTTTCCTTTTGTTTTGACGAATTAAAGTATGACTTAAGAACTCTCTATGATCAGTTGATGTAGCCACAATGCATTAGGTACCCTGTAGTAGTACAAGGGTGGCAGGGTAGGATTTAGATGGAAGTCAGACACTAGCTTTGGCAAGAAATTACAGTAGGGTGAAGATGTAACTTTAGGCATACAAGGTCCAGAGACTGAACAGCAAGCATACTAGACTGCATGGTACACCAAACAATAGGTAACATTTTGCCAAAGATTTTCTTCAGCTAGTGAATACTGGGGGTGGGACTTGAAAACTTTTATTCTCGGCCAAAGGAAGTAGCAAATGCTCCACATCTTTAGAGTTAACATATACTAGTACTGTAATCTAGGTTTGTGGACTATACACATAAGATACTCTGGACTCTATATTGTCTCTTTCTAACTCTGATAATGACAAAACCTCTGTAAAGTCTAGGACAGAAACTGATCTGAGTCCAAGTTGTTTAAAGAGGGAGCAGAAAGCCTGAAATACAGGTCAGTCCTTGGCAAAACTGAGCTCTGGTGAGTCAGTCTTTCAAGTAGGTGGATACTTGGAAGACCTTGACAATTGAACTTAACAAGTGATGCCAGATTCTCACTCAACAGCTGGAGAATCACAGCTCACCCAAACAGTAAGGATTTACCCTGGGAAAGGTCACTGTCCACACTCAACCAAAGGTGGCCACCGTGGAGAAATGTGAAACTTCCCCAAGTTTGAGTGTTTTGAACTAAGCCTGACAAAGAAGGAAAAGATTACAGCTGTTACTTTGAAAAACGTTGCTTAGGTCTCACTTTGCTAAAATTGATTGAGACTCTGCTTTCTTCACGTGCTTACGGAAAAAATTGCTTATGCTTATGAAGTTCTCCTCAAATTGTATCTATTGTTCCGAGCTGTAAGAAGCTCAGTTTGAGAATCATCCTTGAAATGAATAGGAACCCAATAGGGCAGAGAAGCAGCACAGGAAGGGATTGCCATCTCTAGTATCTGTGAAACGAAATTTAGAAGTGATAATGCACCAAATATGGAGAAGAAAAGGAAAGGTAAACGCTAGGAAAGGGAATATGGAGGCCAAACAGGAATCATGGAGGAGTACACCGAGCTCCCTCCCAACATACCTAACTTACTGCTTTGACAGAAGCTGTGGCTAGAACCAAGGCAGCTGAAGAAAGCACTGATGAGCATGTGGTTTAATTGCTAGATCACTGGGACGGTGACTCTGATACCCCAAGTAATCCAACTGGATTGACTAAAAAGGGTATTTGGAGTACAGTCCTATCTTAAAGGAAGAAAATCCTTCATAGGGTGAGGGGGGACAGGAGGGATGTTAAACAATGGTCCTATTCTTCTTGGGGTTTCTCCAAGTATGTCTGTGTCTCAACACTAAAGTCGTCAAGATCATCAAACAGAAAGACTAAATGGTTTATTCTGAACCCCTTAGCATAAACTAAAGATTTTAAGTCTGACTCTTCCTGGTGAGATTGGCGAGCCCTCTGTTCAGCTACGGAAAGAGATTCCAGCACTGAAAACAGCACTGTGTTTTTCAGCATGGACTACCACAGTGCTACCCAGATCGTTTGGGGACCCATTTTGTTCTAATGGAAGTTCAATTTGAAAAAAGCCCCTTCATAGTGCCTGGGACTTGAGTAGAGGACAAGCAATTGGACATCCCCTGAGGGAATGCCTTGTCCCCAAAGGCATGCATGCTAGTCAGGAATATTTTTGGCTACATGAGGCATACCTCTTAAAACTGCATTTCTTTTCAGAGTCTGCCATCCAGAGACCTAAAAAGACAGAAAAATAATCTGAAAGTTAAACACTGGAGCTGCCAGAAGTCCAAACACCATGAAAAAGATGTAACCTACCAATTTACCTAATATTAATCTAAATTCACTAGTCTAACAGTCAACAGCAAAATGTGTTATTTTTTGTAGAGAAAAAGGAAGGAAAAAACCTGCCATAGCTAGTAGAGAAAAGAATTCTGGGAAGTTCTCATATGATGAACTTTAACCTGGCTCATCATCTCATCACAATATTGTGATTATAGAGAGAGAATTTTACACATGGCACATTTCTGAAGTGCTTTAAGAGTACAGGCAGTCCCCGGGTTATGCGGATCCGACTTAGGTCAGATCCATACTTACGAACGGGGCTTTTCTCGCCCCGGAGGACGCGGGTGGCGGGACCGCCCAGAACCTGGCAGCACCCCAGCTGCTCTACCCCAGGTGTCCCCAAGTCAGCCGCCGCTGAAACTGACCAGCGGCTGAATCCGGGAAGCCGGGGGCAGAGGAGCTCCCATGGGGCCCGGTTGGTCCCGCGGCCCCGAGGGGCAGCTTCCCCGGTCCAG